GCAATATATATTAAAAGTTTACAAATATTTGGACTTGATGAAAATCAACAATGGTGGTCTGTTGGCTGGGAAGGGGGTTCAAGGAAACCATTTGGGATGTTGGAAAGAATATCTTGATCTGGTTTGGGTACAAGGGGTGTGTGTGTAAAAATAAGTAATATGTACAGTTAAGACTTCTGCACTTTATTGTGTGCATGCTGTTAAAAATGCTTGAACTAGAAAAATATATTTGGGAAAAAAATTTATGTTTTTATTTGTGCATACAGTACTGGGTACAGGCCAGAGGTGCAGGGGCAGAGAGAGGATTCACCAGAGACAGAGTGGGGAGCAGAACAGGCGGATCTACAAAGTACACTGCTGAGGGGAGCAGCTGGCCAGACAGGAGAGGTCTGCTGCGCCATTGGGTTACCTCCAGGGCGGGGATCAAACTCACACTAAAGCAGCCAGGGCTTGGCTTAGTGCAGTGCAGTTCTCCAACCCACTGTGCCACCAGGGAGGGCCATATTTGGAAATTTTAAGCCAAAAATTCCATTGTACTTTATCTAATGGCAAAGCTTTAGTTCATTGTGTTAATTATAATGTTGAAAAACTAGAAACCTCTAAAATAGCTGATGGCAGGGAATGGTAAATAAGTGATCTTGCATCCACTAAAACTCAAGTTATCAATAGACAAGACATGAATCCATCTAAATGTCCATTGACTGATGACTGGATAAAGAAATCATGTTGTATATATGCTCAGTAGAATGCTATTCAGCTATTAAAAATTGAAACCATGCCTTTTGTGACAGTATGAATGAAATTTGTGGTGATTGCGATAAATGAAAAAAATCTGAAAGTGAAAGACGGTACACTCACTTGTGGAATTTAAATACCAAAGGAAACAAACCAACAAAAGTCACATCTAGACTCTGAAAAATATGATTACCAGAGTGGAGGGAGAGAAGGGGTGAGGGATAATGTGATAGTGTATTGGCTCTGGAGCTTTGGTCGTGGGTGAATGAAGCATGTGCAGTGGAGATGTGAAGATGTAGCCCTAAAATTTTATAGGTATGTAAACAAATGGAAAATTAATACAGTTTGATTAAAAGTGAAATAAAATCATGCTATCAAAATTGTCTTATTGGCATTGTAAAACACTTCTGATAAAGTTACATGCAAAGTAGGTCACAGAATAGGAAGAAAACAATAACAAAATGAAGACAAGTACCATTGTTGATCCCTGGTGTGATGATTTGCTGGTGCACAGAGAAAATGATGGGACAATGGGAACCAGCCAAGCTTCCTGGGTGAAATAACACCATGAACCATGGTTCCCCTCAATGAAAATTCAGTTGTCTGTAAGTGCAGGCACCAGGTCCTAGGCATTGACTTAATGTAGGCTGTTCAGCACGACTCCAACTTCCCTTTGGGATGTTTAGACTCTGAGATTCTCCACTATTCTAAAGTTCCTTTCTAGCTCCAGTCTGGGAGCTGAAAGGCTGAGAGGGTGAGGTGATAACCAGGTGGCAAGAGAATGAAATAAATACACACCCACTTATGTGTACACGCATTGGGGAATACTTGTGTGGTCACCATTCTAAATATGCGTGTAAGCATGTACATGTATGGATGCACATACATCTGCTGCCCGTAGCCCACATTCCCAAATTCGGCATCAGGAAGGTACTATTGTAATTTAAGTAGTCAAATGGATCATCAAAAGAAAGATGTGACTGAGAACTGTGGCTATTCCCAGAGAGCGTGTGTCAGAAACAGAGCTCATTTGGCATTTTTCTAGTAGACTGAAAGCTTCTGGTGTGTACTGGATTGAGGAAGACACGTAGAAGCAAGCTGCAGCCCCACTGGCAAATTTTTCCTCATGCTATATAATAGTTTGCAACCGAGGGCAATACTGTCTGCCTGCCTGATGAAACTTGCAATGAAAAGGGTTTATTTTAAGTCATTTTAATAATTTCTTTTTGATCAGACACTAACCAAAGTAGCCTTCACTTGCATGAAAAACCTGCTCCTTCATCTAGGTGGTTTGCCTGTTGGTAAATGTTACTTAGACTCTACTAATGTGTAAAATCCACATTATGTTTCGACATTAAGAAAATCAGAATTGAGCCTATGAAAAATTGCCTCTTGCTTTTTAATTGTCCAGCTCATTCTAAGTTAAAATGAATTTTCTTTTTTTAAAAAATATTTATTTATTTATGCATACAGTACTGGGGTACAGGCCAAAGGTGCAGGGGCGGTGAGAGGCTTCACCAGAGACAGAGTGGGGAGCAGAACAGGCAGGTCGACGAAGCACACTGCTGAGGGGAGCAGCGGGCGGGTCAGGAGAGGTCTGCTGCGCTGTGCCATGTGGGTCACCTCCGGGGCCAGGGGTCGAAGTGGCTCTGAAGCTGCTGCAGCCAGCTTTGCAGTGATGCGCTCCAACATATTGCACCACCAGGGAGGGCCTAAAGTCAATTTTCCTTAGGAAGAAAAGGTGGCATGTTTGTGCCAGACTTGGTTGAATTGTGGCTTCTTCCCTCCCTCCTTCTGATTCTAGTCCCTCCCCTTACCCTAGATCCTCTGTCCAAACAAGCGCATCATCTCTGGGGAGAAGACTGCTGCTACTACTCTCTGAGCTGCTGCAGCTGCTGCTATTGTCACTGCTACTGGTCTCAAAGTCATTTTTAACTTGACTGAGAGCCTGCTGTGTTCCAGTCCCATAGGGTACCCCAAGAGATAGCACGAAGGAAATATACAAATATACAAGCAGTTCTTTTAAATAGCCAGATCCGGTAGTACTTTTCAAAATAGCATTTAATTTTCATGCAGGTTCTGGAATACAGATATTGCATAAAGCAAGGCTCATCCCATTCAAGGCACCTCACTAGTTTATGGCTTTGATTATAAAGGTCAAATTCCATATGCGCTCTATGTCAATTGGTGGGTAATGCGCTTCTCTCTAAAGCAAAAAGGCCTCATTCTGCTCATTGAAAGCGGCCTGAGAACACATATCTCTCTGGTTTCTTGAAGGATCTCTCATTGCAAGGTTGCAGTAGGGGAGCCAGAATCTCTAAAGAAGGCATAAAGCAGCCTTTTCCAACCTGTATAAAACCCTCTTTGCTTCAAGGCTACTTTCACAGACACAAAATCAGTTTATTATAAAGTACCCCTGAGAAATCAGTGCTGTTTGCTTCTTATGAAATGTAGGAGATCTTTAGATGGAGGAGGAGGAAAGATAAGTAAATGGAATTGAAGATAAACAGGGCCAAGAGTAGGCTTTCTCTCTGCTTTTTTGAAGCTTATGGAGACTTTGATACATAACCCAAGGGTGCTTAAGTCAACACCCCTCTACAGGGGGCATTTTTTCCTCTATCTAGAGCATGTCACAGATTTCTAAACCACATCTGTGGCGTAGTGATGCTAATAATACCTGACACCGCATTGAACCTGGCCTCTGTGGTGCCCAAGCTCTTTATAAAGGGTTTCATTTCCCCTTAGCTCCATTTCCTGGATAAGGAAACAAAGTCACACAGTAGATTAACAAGCAAACTTCTGGAAGAACCAAGTACACTTCTTCACCCCTCTTAAGAGAGATTTTTACTTGATTGGGGGCAGGTGTTGAGGGGGGACAGAGAGAGGGTTGCAGCACCATCAGGGAAGGGTTGTTGGAAAGAAATCTGGCAGGCAAAGGCTGAGTGCTCTCATGTGGACTGGCTGGATGCTTCAAACAGGTAAATTCCCTGGGATGCCAGGCCTTCAGGGCAGAGTTTCCAGAGGGAGCTGGATGCCAGTTGCTGTTTTCCTATCTTCCACCTCTGATGGCCACCAGGCAGCTGTCTCAGCATAGGAGGCTTCATCCTATGCTGTTGCTTTGAAGACATCAGAACCACCCTTTCAAGTCAACAATAAGGTGTGTTCAGTCCAGTATTCTAATGGGGTTCAGAAGGATGAGTTGGGGAGGAATTTGACTGCCTCTTGCTCCAAGAACAGGGGCATTCCCACCTCAACCTGTTTTCCTTAACAATCCACAGTGACTCTTTTAACCTTGCCCTTCTCCATTCTTTCCAAAGCTGTTTGTGCTTTCATTCTCTTGCACCTTGCAGGGCTAATGAGTTCCTTAGGTTTTTCAATATTGTACGTTCAGTAATATTTCTGTCTAATTGCCATCGTGAGAAGAGCACTGACCTGGGAGTCCAGCAGGTCTAGGTTCAAATTCTACCTCTGTGGATTACTAGCTGACTCCAGGGAACTTTCATCTCTTCTCTGAGGTTTAGTTTCTTCATCAGTAAAAGTGGGTGTTGATATCTCTTTTTCCTGCTTTGCATGGCTGTTGAGATGAAAACAGGAGATCCTTGATATAAAAGCACCTTGAACAATAGCACAAACTGGGTGGAGGGTGGGTAATGCAGAGTCATAATTTGCTTTAGATGAACCTTTCTCTAACTCTTAGGGGGCTGTTGGTACCAGAATTCTCAGAGCTGGTGAATGAAGCTGTGTTCCCTCTCTCCATCTCTGCGTAATTTTATACACTCTGGTCACATCCTTCCCCAGCCTTCATCTTTCTAGACTAAAGAGTCTGCATTTGTTTAATCTATCTTCATATGGCAGCCCCTCCACCCTCCTCCATCCCCTTGATTATAGAGTGGCCCTTCTCTGGATCATCTCCAGCTCCATTATGTCATTCTAGAAGCACTATGACCAAACCTGCACAAGTGAGTGTGTGTGTGTGTGTATGTGTGTGTGTGTGTGTTCGTTCCTCGGCTCTGAACCTCTGACTCTGCCCCCTCCCCAATGATACATCCTAGAACAGGATGCTTACCTATGACCCATCTCTCCAAACTACAGAGGAGGCCCGTTGGCCCCAGGCTGTAACCTCCCCCTCTTTCTCTGCGCAGCTCTGGCCCCAAGGGGGCTAAAACGGCTCCCAGTCTGGCTTGGGAGGCTGGGAGGTGGATAACTAGGATGGGGGGGGGCAGAGGGGGGGTCTTGCGCAAGCGCACGCCGCTGCTCGGACCGCCAATGCTGCTGCCTCCTGGAGCAGAGGGAGGCAGAAGAGGAGGGAGGGAGACGAGGGGAAGCGAGGGGGAGGCGGCACTTAGGCTGCAGCTCGCAACCAGAGGCAGTCTCTCTCAGCTCTCGGAGGGACCGGGAGTGGCAGCTGCCGTGTAGGATGCTCTGCCGGGCGCCCTGAGCTGGGGGCTCGTGAGGCAGCTTCGGGGCCGGGCAGCAGGGCAGCTTTCACCATGCATCAGTCCCTGACTCAGCAGCGGTCCAGCGACATGTCCCTGCCTGATTCCATGGGTAAGTCCAGGCGCTCTTGCGCGGGGCGGCGGCAACAAGAGGTGAGTGCGCTGCCCTCTGGATTGCGAGCGCCTGGGCCGCCCCGAGAGCTGGAGAGCGGGAAGCGGGCTAGGGGTCCGTGCGCCGCTGCGTCAGGGTCGTGGAACAGAACCCCAGGGGAGCGGCCCGGCGGGGGCGGGGGCAGCGCGCGGAGATCTGAGCGCTAGGCTTGCGTCGGAGTAAACCTGCCGCGGAGTGCGGTGTGTGCGTGTTTGTGTGCGTGTCTTCAGACTTGCAGCCAGTGGTAAATCCCAGCGATCTGGGCATCAAAACACTTCCCTGCAACCTGCGCCTTCGCTTTCCATTCGACGCTCGCTCTTTGCAAAGTCCCCGTCACTTCTAAGACCTCACGACTATAGCTAATTAGAAGGGGGGGGGGTCCTTCCCCTACCTCCAGCTCCGTCGAAGCTGTCCCAAAATTTAGAGCTACAGTGGGACTAGGGCGGTGGTGGGGGGCGGCTGACTTACAACTCGCTCCTGGAGGTGTTTGCGCAACCCTGGGGGATGGGCGGCTGGGGTGGGGGGAATAAAAAGAAGGGAGAGGGTAGCTAGAAGAAAATTCCTGAGGAATCGCTCAAGAGAGCCCGGCCCTACCCGTCTGAGGCGGCAGGATCAACATTCCTTGAATTTGGTTCCCATTTTGCTCCAAATACACGGAATGTGCCTGACTGTTATAAAAGGGGGGGGGGGGATGAGTGAGGGCGCGAGAAAGAAAGAGCTAGATCGAGCCCGCGCATCTTCTGAAGTCGCGCTTTTCCTCCGAGTGGAATTGAGGGGGAGGGGGGAACGCTCTAGCCTGATTTGGTTCAACACCTTTTCTCATCAAAACTGGGGGACAGCAATCTCCAGGCAGCAACTAGGGCTGATCTTGGACGCTGCTTGTTGGTTGTTACAAACAAACAAACAAACAAACAAAAACAAACCCAGCTACCCCCCCCTCAGCTGTTAGGCACCTTCCCAATCCCTATGATTTCACTGGGCGGAGAAATTAATTTGGAGCCCAGGAGAGCGGGAGGGGATTGTCAAACCACGAACCCACCTAATCTGAAAATTAGCCTCGGATATACTCTCAACAAATCGATTTCTCTTTTTCCAACGTACTTTACATTATGCAAAACCGCTCGGTCCCGAATTCCTGCCATGCAGCCAGCTCAGGTTTTCTCGGAAGAATTTGCGGGAACATCTGGAGGGGAGGAGGAGGGGGCGGGGACAGGGTTGAACCCTCTATGTGAGCTCTTTATTGCCTGCAAAAGACTCAATCTCAACAGAATTCGTTCATCGAAGGGGACCCAGAAAGTGTTGCCTCCTAGATGGTGGAATGATCCGTATTTTCAATGTATATTCAGTGTAAAAATAGGCTTTCTTTTTTATTTTTAAGGGCATAGTTATTTTCAACGTGTTACAAATGAGGCCAAACACCAAATACTTGGGTCGGAATCCAGAGCCCTGAGTACCGGGCTGCCCCCAGCTCTCTCGCACACACACACACACACAC